TCAAGGTTAGCACTCTACCACTTTGAGCCACAGTACCACTTCTGGTTTTCTGGTGGTTATTTGGAGATAAGAGTCTCACAGACTTTCCTGCTGGAGCTGGCTTTTAACTATAATCTGCAAATCTCAGCCTCTTGAGTAGCTAGGATTACAGGTATGAGCCACCAGCGCCTGGCAAGGTAGTTTGCTTTTAAATCACCAATGAACTTATTTCACTCATAAAGTGACTTGGTGAAATGACATTAGGAAATAAAACCAATCTTTTCCTCTTTAAAACTCCAAATGGCATTGTTTTCACTGAGATGACCTAGAGAAGGCCAGTAGAAGGATTAGATAACAGGATTAGAGAACTATCAGATGGTGGGAGCAAAAGTTAGATTCTTTGAACTTCCACAACACTACTGTAACTATTACTGTTCCACGTGTACTTTTCTCATCCAGTTTTTCTACAATCTCACAAGGTCCAGGAGCTTCTATCCCACCCTACTCCAACAAACCATTCCAAAGGCAGCTTTGTATTTTACGCTTGTGGGAAAACATGATTTGTACACTGGCTGGCCAGCAACCTGTTTCTTCTTAAGAATCTAAACTAGAGATACAGAGAGGGCCCAGAAGTTGAGAGGTAGTTAAACTAGGCCAGGCAAACATGCAAGATGAGAATGGAATAAGGTCTTAGAACACAAGAATGTAGATATCAGAAAAAGTTTATGGAATATATTAGGCCAGCTAAGGATTCTGAGAATTCTACAATAAACTCTCTTACCTCAACTCCCTTAAATAAGTTTCTACTTCTTCAGTCAAAAGAACCTTTATGAGAAAGGTAATAACAGTACTTAATTGGTCAAGCATAAAACAGTTTGATTATTAACCTCAACATAGTTCATTCTAAAATTTTAACCCTTTCCATAATCTCCCTATGACTGCAGGTTTCGATGTCCTGTTCTGGCATCTTTTGTATTAAGTGAGGAGGGGATGTCAACTATTGCAGAAAGTAAACAAATGCAACCTTTCTGAGAATAATTTGACAAAATCACACTGCTAAAATGTATAGAGAATATACATTGAGAATCTGTTTCATTGGCCATGATTGAAAATTTACCTAAAAAGGATTCACATAATTATACAAAAATAAAGTTAAACTGATGTCTCCTACAATATTTTTGTAATAGCAAGAGATGAAAATTTGTGATTGCATTAAAAGAAGATCCTGTGGCTCAGTGGAAGAGTGCTTGCCTTGCATGCATGAGGCCCTGGCTGGGCTCAATTCCTCAACACCGAATAAGCAGAAAAAAGCCAGAAGTGGCGCTATGGCTCAAGTGGTAAGTGGTAGAACACTAGCCTTGTGCTGAAGAGCTGAAGGATAGCGCCCAGGCCTGGAGTTCAGGCCCTATAATGGACAAAAAAAAAAAAAAAAAAAAAAGAGGATTCTGTGCAATAATTTAAAAAATGCCATAAAGGAGTATGAGGAAGATTAAGAAACATAAACAATTAAAGTGGTAGAGTGCCTGATTAGCAAGCTCAAAGCCTTGAGTTCAAATGCCAGTACCACAAAAAACAGAAAGAAAAAAGAAAGTATTGTTGAAGGTAATATGCCTAGCAAGTGTGAAGACCTGAGTTCAAACCCAAGAATTACTCAAAAGAAAGAAGGAAAGAAAGGAAGAAAGAGAGGGAGAAGGAAAGAAGGAAGGAAGGAAGGAAAGAGAAAAAGAGAAAGAGCGAGCTATGAAATAAGATGCTTACAGTTTAATATTAAGTTAAAAATGCAATTTGTACAATATATAATGACTGCACATACATATATAAATCTAAAAATTGTAACAAAAATGCTCATTTCAGGAAAATTATGAGAACATGCTTTAAAAAAGAAAAACAAATATCAGGCGAAGGCTGATGGTTTTGTGTCTATAATCCCAGCTACTTAAAGGGTTGTGATTAAAGGCTAGCCCTGTCAAAAAGTTAGCAAGACACCATCTCAACCAACAAGCAAGATGTAGTGGTGCATACTTGTAATCCTAGTTACTGTGAGGCATAGGTAGGTAGGAAGATCACAGTCCACAACAGGTCCTAGGTAAAAACATTAGACTTATCTGAAAAACAGCTAAACCAAAAAGGATCTGAGCATGGTTCAAATGTTATAGTGACTGCCTAGGTAAACACAAGGCCCTTAGTTAAAGTCCCAGTTACACTAAGTGAATATGAAAAATGGGCATCAGTAAGTTGGGGGGAAGAGGGGATATTCTAGAAACAATAAGAGGGCATTGTGGAATTCTTTAAATTAGTATGGCATTAGGATAGATATAATAAAAAAGAAAGTTCAGAAATAGGCCTACATATGGGAATTTTGCATATCATAAAGGTATAAGGGTAAGAATACACTGTTCAATAAAGTATTGAATGGAGTAAAATGTCTACTTTATTTCATATACTCATAAATCGTAGGTAGACTTGTTCTAAAAGTAAAAATAAATAAGAGAAAAATGTAGACCATTATAAGAGAGCTGGGGAAGGCACTAAGACAGACAACTCAAAAGTTAACATTCTCAAGGACGAATATGCTTTATGTAGTTTGTGTGCATGAAAATACAACAATGAAACCTGTTGAGTAGTGCACAATTAATGAATGCTAATAAAAGAATAATAAACTATCATTCTCACCACTGAATAAAAAAGCTGATGTTTTATTCTTCCATTGACATTTCCTTTATTTTTTTAACAGTAATGGAATAAATGAAGTAAATCTTAACCTGTAATGCGATATTCTAATCATTATACAAAAATCTTTCTGCACTTAAAACAGTTTAGTATTATAGGTATACAGGGTACAACAATGTAGCAAGAAACTTTTTTTTGTTTGTTTTTGGGTCAGGTAGTGGGGCCTGTACTCTGGGCCTGGGCGCTGTCCATTAGCTCTTCAGCTCAAGGCTAGCGCTCTACCACTCGAGCTACAGCGCCACTTCTGGCTTTTTTCTTTTTGCTATGTGGTGCTGAGGAGTGGAACCCAGGGCCTCAGGCATGCAAGGCAAGCGCTCTACCACTGAGCCACCTTCCCAGCCCATCAAGAAACTTTTTAAAAAGGAAATTTCTCATTAACTCTAAATATAATAAAGGAACTTATTAATGGAATTAATTAATTGAGTGACATAAGTACTTCTTAACAATTACACAATCTAGAAAAACATAAAATATAATAGTCCAATTTTAAAAGACATATGTTTTTATGACTCTAAATTCACTATGAAATAAATTTCTCAATAATTCAGTCATTTACTTAGAGTGAGATTTTGTTGTTGTTGTTGTTGGTCATGGGGCTCGAACTCTGGCCTGGCACTGTCCGTCAGATCTTCAGCTCAAGGCTAGCACTCTACCATTTGAACCACAGTGCTACTTCTGGTTTTCTGATGGATTATTAGAGATAAGTCTCATGGACTTTCCTACGCAGGCTGGCTTTGAACCGTGATCCTCAGATCCCAGCCTCCTGAGTAGCTAAGATTACAGGCGTGAGCCACCGGAGCCCGGCTAGAGTGAGATTTTAAAACCTAGTATAAAAAAGATCAGAAATAGGAAGTGTAGCCACTAGGCAATAACATGGCAAAGAAAAATGACAACATTCTAACAGCATACTTTTGTGTAATTCAATAAAAAAGAAAAAATATGCTAAGTGGGTTTTCCCTTTTGCTTTCTGAATGACAAGCTAGGGATTAGGGTTTTTAACATCTGACAAAGTATTTTTCTAAAGCTTTATTTCTTAAAGTTTTATTCCTCTGAATATCTTTCAATTATGCATTATCATGATTTCATGGTGGGAAAAGCAGATTTAGTATCTATTGTCAATCTAAGTCAGTGTAAGATATCACAGGTACTTCTCAGATCCTATTTTTTCTCCACAAGATCCCAATTCGGTTGGCATCTTCCATCGCTATCGGAATTATTTCCTGCCATTGTTCCTTTTTCCTCAAACTCAAAGTTTCTATCTTGGTAATAAGCAGGTATACTTTCTACATTTTACTGAGCAAATTTATTATAGGCTTTTTTTTTTATCAGGAAGTCAACAAGATATAAAAGTAGCAATAGGAAAAAATTAAAACTACAAGGTCAAAGGTCTCACAATAAATGATTCTTAAAATATAGACACAAAAAAAGATGACAAGATCTGTTAGATCTTCCATGGCACTTTCCACTAATCCCATCTTTTCAAAGGGCTGCCTCATTACCAGACTCACATAATTGAAACCTCTCTGTATATCACTTCTTTTTTGGGGGGAAGGAGGGTCCGGCCGTGGGGCCTGAACTCTGGGCCTGGGCGCTGTCCCTCAGCTCTTCAGCTCAAGGCTAGTCACTTGAGCCACAGCGCCACTTCCGGCTTTTTTCTTTTTGCCTATGTGGTGCTGAGGAATCGAACCCAGGGCCTCATGCACGCAAGGCAAGCGCTCTACCACTGAGCCACCTTCCCAGCCCTATAATAAATTATAAAAAGTAAACAAAAACAAAAAACGCCTGCCTAATCCTTTATTACTTAATACAACTACTGCATTTTAAAATGTTTTCGTCAAAAACTTTGGATTCCAACCTTTCCTGTCTTTCAGGGAAGTGTACATGGAAAGAGATGGCTCCCGGAGGGGTCTCAAGAAGACAGCCACAGCTAAGAGAACGCCAGGCTTCCCGCTGACATTCTCTAAATTCACAAACTCTTACCCTCCCTTCCTCACTCACAACCTCAAAACTACATGACACGAAAGAAGAACTCCGGAACGCAGGCGACGAGAACGGGCTGCCGGCGAGAAGAGGCTCCGAAAGGCCTCCTCCCAAGGCGGGAAAATAGGAAGTGTAACTTCTGACGGGCAAAATCGTAGACCTTGCCGAGTCCGGCCTGGAAGGGGAGCCTCCGGCCCCCTCGAGCGGCCCGAACCCCGGACCCACCCGGCACCACCCTGCCCGGGCAAGTCGCACGAACGTTCCCCGGGCTTCCGGAAGGCAGCTACGGAAGACAGCCCGGCCAAACTCACCTGACAGGCATCAAGCCCGGAGGATCCGTCATAAACACGCTCGGCGGGGACAGAAGCGAAGCCGGGAGGAGAGGTCAAGCCACGGTGAAAGAAAACCCACTCATCGCTAGCGGTCTCCAAGGCAACGAGTCCCCCCCCCCACGCGCGACACTCACGAGTGGCCTAAAACCACGACTACAATTCCCAGTAGGCAACGCGGCGGCGGGGCAGCGTCCCTCCCAGAATGCCACTGTGCCTTGGCGGCGTTCGTCTCCCACCCTCTCCTCTCTCAGCCCTGCCTCCTTTCCTACCCGTCGTCACCCGGGAGGGCTGGAGGAAGACAGCGTGCGGCGGTGAGGCGGGGGCGGAGGGAGAGGGGGAGATCCCGAACGCTCGGCGTGTGACGTCAGACGCCGGGAGGGGGACGAGGCGGGGAGGGCGGAGAGAATGGCAGGACGGCGGGGAGAGGAGAGGAGAGGGGAGGGGAGGGTAAATAGTGGGCCAGGCTGGAAGATGGCGGCGGTCGCGGAGGTGTGAGGTGACCGGGGTCTCTGCCGCGGGTTTTTTTTCCTTCCCTTCCTCCTCCCTTCTTCCTCGCCCTGACTGAGGTTGGCCCCGCGGGGGCCGGGTTCGGGCGGCGGCGCCCGGCGCAGCGCGGGGGTCACAGCGACGGCGGCCGACGGCTGGAAGGGCAGGCTTCCCTCGCCGCTCGTCCTCCTTCCCCGGTCCGCTCGGGGTCAGGCGCGGCGGCGGCGGCGGCGGGGCGGCGGCTGCTGCGCTTCGTCCCGGCTCCTGCTCCCCCGCGCCTCGGAGCGGGCACGCTTCTCCTCGCCATCCCCCGACCCTCCACCCCAGGGACCGGGCGCCGCCTCCGGCGCGGCTCACCGAGCGGGGGTCGGTCTCCCGCTCGCCTGTCGTGCCTCCATGTCGGATAACCAGAGCTGGAACTCGTCGGGCTCGGAGGAGGACCCGGAGACGGAGTCTGGGCCGCCGGTGGAGCGCTGCGGGGTCCTCAGCAAGGTGAGCCGTCCGCGGGGGGCCCCGGGCCCGCTGCCCGGACTCACCTGCCGCGAGGCGGGCGGGCGAGCGGGCGCAGCCGCCCAGGGCGTGGGGTGGGGCTGGGAGGGAGGCACTGGCTGTCCTGGGGCGGGGGCTGCGGACTGTGCCCGGCTGAGCGGTGCTGTGGGAGTGCCTGGGCCGGGGGAGGCTCGTCCTCCTCGCCGGCCCAGGGGCCGGTCAGGAGCGGCCAAGGATCGGGGAAAGCAAGGATCAGGGTTAGTGTTCACCTTGGGAGGCGAGCTGCTGTCTGTGCCTTGAGACCCCCCCAGGCGGCGGCTGCCCCCCGGGTATAGGAATCTGGGTTGGGTAACAGTGTTACCCGAAGTGTACCGGTAGTCGGGGCGGTTCAGATTGGATCTTCCCAACGAATTAAGTCTGGGAGTGTCGAGTAGAATACGTTGGGGGCTCTGCTGTTTAGGCAAAGCCAGTCGATTCGGCTTAGTGCCAGTATCTGAGGTAGTAGTTCAGCTTGGATGTGGTGGGTGATGAGCGTGGAGCACTTTCATACTTTTCTCACCCCTTGCCCCACTTCAGAAAAGAACTGTTGAATTGGCACCCGTGGGTATAAGGTGTAAGAAATACTAAGGCTGCTAACCTGGAACGTCAGCATGGAAACTGACCTTCAGTGCACAAAGATTTACTATATATGCAGTGTAAGGGTCCAGGGTCAAGAAAAAAGTACTTCACTTTTTTTGTGTGTTTTAAAAGCGTTCTCTCAAAGTTTTAGCAAAATAGGATCAAAAGGTACCTGCTGGTGGTATATGTTTTAAAGTTTGTGCTGTGGAAAGGCATGTAACCTTTTTGACTTCCTCTCCCTCCTTATTAAACTTTTGAAGAACTCGCTGGAGCTAGCCGTTAACTTGGAGAGGGCTTGTTAGCTCAACAAGCTAGTCATGAGATACCAAGTCATGTGCAACCACTGCCTATTAAGAAATCGCTTTAATTCCAGTGTTCCTATTAGAATCATTTGGACACCATTTGTAGAATTGTTTCTTCTAAGACTTTTCATAACGTCTTTTGAAGGTTAATGAGAAAGAGCTTAGAGGAAAGTTTGTCAGATGGCAAGGTTTACTAACATTAACTTGTGTAACAGAAAAATTGTGTGTTGATACAGTGATTATTCTTGAAATTTCAGTACCATATTTTCAGTTAAGTGAAACTCCCCTGGGTTTGTTTTTCTTAAATGCATCTTATACCTTCAGGAATCTATTGAACATATTGTGTCATATTTAAATGGATTTAAATGGAAATAGCTTTGAGATGGATTCTTTGCTTTTCAGAGTTTGCCTGTACTGGTGGTTGAACTCAGAGCCTTCCTTGAGCTTGTTTGGATTGCTGGGCTTGCTTGCTTGCTCAGCTGGTGTTCTAGGACGTGTGCCACACCTCTAGCCCTTCTCAATGATTTTGATAGTTTTGATAATTTCTCTTTAGGTGAAAAGACGACTGTCACGTTAATATTGTGGTGATGTTAAGTGTTTTATAAAACTAGAACACTTTTGACGTACCGATAACACTTTTGAGGAGGTCAGGAGTGGCAAAGTAGTTGAGAAAAGTCATGTATTGTGAATATCATATGCAAAGTAGTGTAGTTAGGTATACAGTAGATCAGAAAATAGGAAGCTACATGTAGTGGCATGCACCTGTAATCCCAGATCCAGGGGGGCTGAAACAGAGTCACAGTTTCCAGGTAACTAGCTTAGTTTGAGCCAGGCTATGGGCTCAAGGGGAGGAGAGGGAAAGATTTAAATGTGTGGAAATGTAGTGATTAATTGAACAATTTTATGAAAGGGGTATAATTTCCATTTTGACTGCTGCTGTTTATAAGAAGCAACAGGAATAAAACTTTTGATCATCTTGTTAACAGCCATGACAGCAGTTTTATAGTTTTATGTATTCTTCTAAGAATTTATAATTAAGGGTATTTTATTTTTGGAGTGCTGGGGATCAAACATAGAACATTGTATATACTGGGCATAAATGCTTTACTACTCTGAGCTATGTATAACTTTAGCCCCCTCAAGACATCAAGGGTATTTAATATTGAGTACATACACTAGTACTGGGGATGATACATATTTTTAAGTTTAAAGTACATATTACACACTTAAGTGTCCTTTGTATTTACCTGATACTTTAGATAAGATTTAGAGCTCAGCACCTACTCTTTTCCTTCAGTTTAGTGATATAAATTGCAGTATAAATTTTACTTCTTCTGTAAATAGGATAGAATTGAAATGTGTATGTATAAATTTGTGCTAAAAGTGTGCCAATCTAGGGCTAGTAGAGTGTCCTGAGTGGTTAAAAGGTCTGCCTAGGAAGCATGAGTTTGAGACCCTAAATCAAGCCCCAGTACTGGGGTATACACACACACACACACACACACGATTTTTTTGTATTTCAATCTGAAATACAAGCCAATACTTATATTTTTTAAGTAATTACTTCTTAAGAAAGTAAGTAGTTTCCAAGAATATTGGATAAATAGTAATTGTAGGTGGTCATAACAAATAGGATGGATCCTGATTGGGAAAAGGTTTATGCCTTAATGCCTTGATTGGAGTTGAAAGGATGTAAACCGGTATAAAATAAGTCTATCCAAATTCTGAATTTCCTCTTTCCCTAGTGTACTTTAGCTTTCCCACATACCTGTTGGTTGAAATTCTATCTTTGATTCCTTCTCACTTCTCCCCTCCTTTTCTCCCATTTTCCTTCCTCCTTTCATTCTTGATATGGTCTTTGCTTTGTAGCACAGGTTGGGCTGTAATGTGTGATTTCCCACAGACATGTGTTTCTTGCTCTTGCCTTGTTAGCCCTTAGGATTTCTTTCCCTGGAATTGCCATAGCATTTTGTTTAAAATTTGGTTCTGAATCATATTTCAAATAAATTTTTTCTCTTGAGTTTGTGATTGCTGAACTGTAGGAATCTTTAATTCTTCTGCAATCTGTAACATGTAGTTTTGTCTGTATTTGTTAAATGGGGAAGTAAAGGAACAAATACTTCCAGAGCAGAATAAAAAAAGGCAAGGAAACCCTGCCTTCCAGACGTATTAATAGCAGCTAACATTTGTTGAGTAAAGAATCATCCTGGTTTCTCTTTAAGAAAATAATATAAAATTATAAATATACAATTGCTGGGCTCCTATCACTTTCATAGAGGGTCAGCTGCAAGTGAGAGACATTAAAGATTAAGCTTCATCACTTATGCATAACTGAAACAGAAAATAATGTGTGCCAAGTTCTGTTCCAAGTTTGTTCTTTCCATTGTTACACAGTTACTAGCCTCATGAAGGATAGCAATGGGAAGCAAGGTACTATTTAATCTGTTTGAGGGTATTAAATACCATTCTGACCCACCAGTGTAATGGGCAATGGGAAGTCATCCCTAAAAGTTTTGGAGCTGGAGTAAGATAAATCTGTAACATAGTCAGCAAATATGGCTAATAAGTAAATCAGATGATGTTAATTATGAAAAGCAGAGATACTAGAGATAAAGTTTCTAAGCCTTCTCAGAAAACTAGTAATTGATTTTTGTGTGTGTGTGTGTTTGTGTGCTTCTCCCAGTTCTGGGGCTTGAACTCAGGGCCTGAGCATGGTCCCTGAGCTACTGTGTTCAAGGTTTGCATTCTTTTTTTTATTTTTTATTTTTTGGGTCCGGTCGTGGGGCCTGAACTCTGGGCTTGGGCGCTGTCCCTCAGCTCTTCAGCTCAAGGCTAGTGCTCTACCACTTGAGCCACAGCACCACTTCCGGCTTTTTTCTTTTTGCTTATGTAGTGCTGAGGAATCGAACCCAGGGCCTCATGCATGCAAGGCAAGCGCTCTACCACTGAGCCACCTTCCCAGCCCCAAGGCTTGCGTTTTTGAACCACAGTTTCACTCCCAGCTTTTTGATGGTTAATTGGAGATAAGAGGTTTGTGGGTTTTCCTGCCAGTGCTATCTTAGAACCGCAACCCTTAGATCTCAGCCTCCAGAGTAGCAAATGGAAGTATGAGCCTCCAGCACCTGGCTAGATAATGAGAATTTGAGTAGAGTAATTGAAAATAAGAGGATACAAATTTAAAAATGAAACATGAATGAAAAATTAGTAAGATTTGATGATGAGCTATAAGTAGTAAGGAATAGTAAGATATTAAGCATCCTGT